CTCTCTCTTACTTACTCTTATTTGCATTCAATTATTTAGTTTAAATTGCTCTTTAGTTTAATCAACCAACCAACTATTTGTTTGATTACTTGACCTACTAACCCTAATTGCGATTCCACAACCAAGTACGACTCCAATCCCTTGGGACGATCCCTACTCACTCTTGCTACATTAGTAGTAGTGTTGGTAGTGGTTTTTATAAATTTAAATTTGACCTAAAAGTCTTTTCTTGAACCACACATTCACTACATTATTTTGGCATATATCAAGCGGCCTCGTCACCTAGGCTTGTACTCTAAACTCTAGTTCTTTGTCTTTTTGGGGAAACTATTGTTGTAATGAATGCCATAGCCTTATGAATATATAAATCTTGGTTTTTCCTATGATTTCTATGGTTGAATGCTTCTTATTAATTCTCTAAATTGGTTACATGTCTATGTGTAATTAGTTGAGGATTATATCTATACACTATTTTCTTTAGATTAGTTACATGTCTATGTGTGATTAATTTAGGATTTAGTGATGGCTATGCATGGATTTCACTAGATACACTTGTGGATTAATATGATAGGTTATGCTTATACTTGATGGATTGTACTATATCTTTAGTTTAATTATCTTAATTTCATTGTCTTAGTTTAATTGTAGTGTAATTGTATTTCAATTCCTAGATAGGTAAACAATCTATGCTTGAATATGATAATCCATGATTATTGTTACAAGTTAATTGTATGATTCTCTAGATTAATGTTTGCTACAATTATGGATTAATTGGATGGTTTATGGTTAGACTTGATGAGTTGTGCTACATCCTAGTTTACTTCTTGTTAAGTAGACAATTCATGCTTGTATTTGATATCCATGCTCATTGTTGCAATTGGTAGCACACATTTGGGTTACAACATTGTTTTTCCCCAATTAGATAAAGTCTTGTGGTTTAGTAGATGAGCTTAGCGGTGATTTCTATGCCCTAAGACTCCTCTCCTATTTTTTAGACTCTATTTTCTTAGCTCTAAATTGTTCTATTTTACATATTTTTAATTCATCATTAGTTTAATCAAACCAAACCAAAACTTCTTTCAATCTCGTGACATACTACTCCAAGTTTAATTCCAAGTACCTTTTAATCTCTTGGAATGATCCCTTCTTGCTATACTTCATTGTATACATGTTAAGTGGTTTATAAATATTTAATCCTTGATGCATAATTGATACATTTTCATAGCACACCATTCTTAAAGGTTTTGAATCACACCCCTTTTGTGGTAACACATTGGGGGAGCATCAAGTTTTTGGCATCGTTGCTGGGGATTATGAACGGTTTTACTTGGAATCAAATTAGGAATTGGTACTCATTTGATTGCTTGTCTTTAATTTCTTTTTATTTTTTTCACTTGTTACTTGTACAATTAGGTACTTGAAGGCAAGAAGTGCAAGCATTGGAGCTCGATATCATTACTTGGGACCTTTGTGAGCGTATCTTGAACTCATTTATCTTAATAATGCATCAGTCCTCACCGCGGCCCTTTACTTTTATTGTTGAAAGCATGGACCCTTGTTGTGGTCATTAAATTCTTGCATTGATATAACATAGGAGTATGGAAACATTGTATGTGGAGGTTGTGAATACAATGTTGATTGTTGTGGAGAAGAAGTTGTTGCTATTTGTTGTTTTCTTGTGCATGCATGGTCAAAGGTTACTTCATCCTCCTCTCATTCCTTTGAATCATCTATTCGATGATTAAGAGGTAGTTCTAGTCAAATTTTTCTGAATCTGGACTACTCCATTACATCAATGGAAGATCATGTTGAGGATCTCGGTCATGTGGACCAACAAGGCATGTACCATCCCAACAATGTGCAACATTGTGCATCCACACTTAGGAATTCCCCAACCTAATAATGTTGTGCAATAACCTAACAATGTTTTACCACCTCTAGGAATGCCACAACCACCACTTGTGTAAATTCCTCTTGGAGCTCGTGTAGAGCAACAAATTCCCAATCCTCCAATAGTTTTTAAAGATCATTATATGCCTAATAAGTATAATGCCCCGACATGCATCCGACTTCTTAATTTTAGGGCACATCATTATGAAATTAAACCTTCCACTATTCAAATGTGTTCACTCTTCTTTGGGTTGAGCAATGAAGAACCTTACAAATATTTGAATGAGTTCTTGGAAGTGTGCTCCACCGTGAAAATCACGGATGTGCCGAAAGAAGTTCTAAGGTTGAAGCTTTTCCCTTTTACTCTTAGGGATAAAGCTAAATATTGGTTTAACAACTTGGGGGATAATACCATAACATTTTTGGCTCAAATGCAACAAGAATTTTTAAAGAAGTATTACCCCGCGAATCGAACTAATTCCATATGAACTTCTATTCATGAATTTTCTTAAGGAGACGGAGAGCCCTTACATGAAGCGTGGGAGCGCTTGAACGATTTGCTAAGGAAATGTCCACATTATGACGTTCTAAAGTGGCAATTAGTTCAATGTTTCTACGAGAGCTTATCCGATACCCACAAGGGTATGGTGGATGTTTCGTGTGGAGGTACTTATTTGGAAAGGCATGAGGATGACATCTGGCGCTTATTTGAAAACATAAGTGAAAAGTCAATGCATAGGTTACTATCCTCTCGCCTGGCCCGAAATTCTAATTTTGAAGGGAAGAAGAATGTAAACTTGTGCCAAGTAGAGAGTTCAAATGAAATTGCTGCCAAGGTTAAAACTTTAACACAAAGGTTTGATCAATTCTTGTTAAATCAAAACTCGGCAAATTAATCATCTTCATCTCCTTATTCTCATCAAGAAATGTGCATGACATGCTCTAGTTTGACTCACACTACTTCCAATTGTCCCATTGGACGTGTTTTTCAAAGTGAGCAACAAGAGCAAGTAAATGCCGCATTTATTCGTCCGGGGAACAACCCCTATTCCAACACTTACAATCCGAGATGGAGGGAGCATCCTAACTTTTCTTGGAGGAATCAAAGAGCCGGTGCAAACCCTCCACAAGTTCAAAATCCTTAAGGAAAGTATGTGCCCCCTCACCTTCAAAATGGAAATTCTCAAGGATATCATCCCTAACCTCCTTTCATTGTGAACCAATCTTCTATTCCTCAAGTGTCCAACTCTCAATCTTACTCTCAAGCTCCTTCTAGGAACTCCATTTTTGAGGACAAAGTGTTGATGGCTTTGGGCAGTTTAGAGGTCAATACTCAATTGTTTCATTCTCACTCTCAATCAATAACAAAGCTAGAAAAACCAAGTCAGGCAAATATCTAGTTCTTTCAATGTAAGAAAGGTAAATTGCCTATTCACCCCGAGCCTAAACCTCAATACATGGTGGAAGTAACTCCCACATTGGGATTTTCTACACATGAACAAGTGAATGCCATAACCACTTTGAGAAGTGGGAGAGAGGTTGACAACAAAGTGGAAACACCTAGTGAAGTTAGTGAACCGGTGCAACCAAGTGGTTACCCCCGTCCCGTTTCCAATCTTATTCCTTCTTCACCAAGGCCAAATGATCACATTGAGGAGAAATCATCACAAGCATCATCATCTAATAATCTTGAAAAGCTTTATGAGCCAAAGGCTCTGTTTCCATAAGCTTTAAAAAATTCTTTTGGGAAACAAGAAGGAAAAATCCATTAAATGATGGAAGTGTTTAGGCAATTGAAAATTAATCTTCCTCTTCTTGACGCAATCCGTCAAATTTCCGCCTATGCTAAGTTCTTGAAGGACTTGTGCACTCAAAAGAGGAAGTCCAAAAGCCAAGCACCAAGGAAAGTTCTTCTCACCCAGTAAGAAGCTCTATTCTTCAACATAACACTCTTCTAAAGTTCAAAGATCCCTGTTCTCCGACCACTTCATGCACCATTGGTGATCATAAAATCAATAGGGCTCTTTTGGATTTAGGAGCAAGTGTTAGTCTTCTTCCTTACTCATTGTATCTTCAATTAGGTTTGGGAGAATTGAAACCTACATCGTTTGTTTTGCAACTTATCGACAGGTCTATCAAGAAACCACGTGGGATCATTGAGGATGTTCTTATTAAAGTTGATAAATTCTTCTTTCCGGTCGATTTTGTGGTCATTGACACAGAACTGGTTCCTAACCCTAAGAGTCAAATACCTGTCATTCTTGGCCATCATTTCTTGGCTACCGCCAATGCAAATATTAATTGTAGGATAGAGGTTATGAAGATCTCTTTTAGGCACTATGAAAGTCAAATTGAATATCTTTAATCCTACTCCTAATTCTATTGACAAGCATGAACAAGTTAATGTTGTTGATAAAGTTGTTGAGGATTCACCGCTTGCTAATCCATCAAGTGCAATTGATCCTCCTTCCCTAGGTTATGCTTCAAAATCAAAAGTCAAAAAGGCAAAGAAGCCTAAATGTCCTTCTTTAGGTGTAGATAGAGGTCCACCAAGCTCCATTGTTTCAAATCCAACAAAGTCCCAAGGGAATAGTTTGTTAGGTGGGATTCAAGGACATTTTCATCCCATTGAGAAGGGAAAGTCAAACAAAATCTTTGATTCGGGCTAGAAAGTAGCCCAACATCTTGCTAGAGACGTTAAACACTAGCTTCATAGACTTCAAACTCTACTTCTCGCCCATTTATTCTTTTGTTTACCTTTTTACGTCGTCTAGATAAGTTCCAAAGTGCTTCATTTCAGTTTTTGGGGATTTTCAACATTTTTTGCACTTTCAGCATCATCCATGATCAATTGCAAATTACACGATCGATCGCAAAATTACATGATCGATTGTGATTTACGGAGCCCCATTTTGCCTTGAAAACAGCTCTCAATATCCATCGTTATTGGAACTTCACGATTGATTACAGAATCTTACGATCGATTGTACCCGTTCGTCAAAAATTTCAAAGTTCCGGGGGATCGTTTATAAACCCGAATGATCGATCGCTGACATTTGCGATCGATCGCACTAGAACCTTTTATCTTCTCATATCGTTTGTGAATCATCACAATCTATCGCTGACTTTTGCGATCAATCATACTGGAACCAAATTCTTTCTTCAAAATCAAGCTTAGGTTATGAATGATCGTGCCTAAGCTACGATCAATCGTATTATAATTTACCTATTTCAAATTTGGGCCCCACTTTCCTCGCCTATAAACCCTATTTTATTTTTTCTTTTTATTCTTCCCCTCTCCTCTTTATCTTCCTTCCTTTCTTTTCTTTCTTTCCTTCTCTTCTCTCTCACCTCTTAATCTCTATCTCTCTTTATTCACCCGAAGCCCCCACACAAACCCTAGCCCTCATCTCTTATCCCTTTGTCTATCTCAACTGTGAGCCACCACCATAAAAAATCCCTCGACAGTGAGATGTTCGACCACCGCATCTCACGACTACGATTTCGGTGCCATCTCAAGCCACCGTGTCCTCTCTCTCTTCGGTGAGATCTTGGCCTCCTCGGCCGAGCTCCTCTCACTTGCAGGCACTCTCCTCCACTCTCGGTCTGTCTATTCTCCGGCTGTTTTACGGCCAAAGAGAACTCATCACTGCAAACGCCAGTGGTCTCTACAACTTTTGACGACCATTCCGCCATCTTCAGTCATCTTCTCCGGCTGACCGAAAATTTTCCCGAGTCTCACCTCTCTGTTCCTTTTCTATCTCTCTCAGGTATGGTTCAATTTTTTATTTTATTTTTGTTTTTCATTTCATTTTTGTGTTTTATATTTCGTTGTATATAGATGCATCCAAATTGATATATGAAAATTTTAAAATTGAAAATTAAAAACTAATTTTTTTTTTTTTTTTGAAAAGAGATTGTTGAGACTTTAATTGGACCTTTAGAATTATTTCTTCACTGTTTTACATATTCTGTGATGGAGATTGGGCAGTGATATGAAATGAAGTTTGGGCTTGAATGGAGTTTGTTATTGTTATTTTGTGAAAGGATGAAGGGTGTGCAATGAAGTTGTGTTGTTGTGCTGTGAAATGTTTGTTGTTGATATTGTGTTCTTGGAGTATAGGGCTGTGATTGGATGGTTGAAAATTATTAACTACTTTGTATTGGAAATTCTGTGAATTGAAAATTGAAACTGAGATTCCATATTACCTTGTGTTGATATATGCATGCATGTTGATTTGGAGGATTTGGATTTTCATGAGGGAATTTGGGTTGAAGAAAATGTGACTGTTCTTGTATATATGTATGTAAATCTCTCTGTGGAAATTCTTGTGATATGTATATATCTCTTGCTATATGATTTCAATTCTGACTTTTGCTGGGACTATCAACTTGAGATATTCATGTGACCTTTTACTTGAAATCCTGATTAGTTGTATGTCCAAAATGTTATAAACTTAGCATATTAAAGGAAAGGAAAATTGAAATCATTTTGAAGTTGAAATGAAGTTGTTCTCATTGACTTGATTGAACTTTAAAATCTAAAAGTGGAAATTGAAAGTGTGGTTTGTCAATTAAAGTTGAATCATAAGCTTTGTTTAGGAAGAGCATGTTAAAATGTTCAAGTTAAGTTGAAAAATCTCTTGAAATTGTTGGCATTGTGAGTTACACTCTTGAATTGTCAATTTGTGAGCATGTCCCCAATTTCATCTCCATTGTCTAAGGCCTAAAGATGTGAATTGCATAGATGTTTGTTCTAAGTTGAATTGCATGAATGTTGAAATTGAATTCAAAAAATTGAGTTTCTAAGCTTGAAAATGAATTATCAAGTCAATAAGCATGCAAGTGTCTTAAAAGTGGAACTTTTTGCAATGTTTTGATCTTACATGGATATATGCTCATGTTTAAGGTGCAATTTTGGTAAATGATCTTTGAAAAGTTGGAAGTCTCATTTGTTAACAAGTTTGTGGTTTTCAAAAATTGAAATCGAGTTTTGGACTTTGCATTTGAAATGTGAAGTTGAGTTTTAAAATTCTTTCATTTGTTAAGTGTTTCAATGCATGATTCTTGTGAGAACTCTTATCTACAATGCATGTGCAAACTTGAACTCCAAATTCTCTTAAAATTTCTTTCTTGAAGCTAAGTGTTGAACTTTTTCAGGAATTGTGCAAAATGTCCTTAAATGAGATAAATTTGTTCAATTTGCTTCATTTTTCATCCAAATGCATGTTTTGAATGCCACTGAGTATAATCTTGTCAAATTCTTGATTCTTGCCATGTGAGGGCATCTTATGATATCTTGTGAGCTAATTTGATGTGACTTGGAATTTTCTTGAAAATTATGATGAAATGTCAACTTGAACCCAAATTGTTGAAGTCAAATGTGTAAGGTTGCAAATAGAGTTTGAATGACCTAATGTGATTTCTTTTGAATAAGTGTTTTGCCTTTTGAAATAAAATGCAAGTTTTGTTGCTTGTAAATACTTTTGTCATAAGTTGCACACACCTTGCTTCACATTGTTGGTTTGAAAAACATGCTTGCACTTTTAAGTACTCTTTTGTTGAAATATCATGATTCATGGAACTTTGACTTGTTTTGGGGGGGTAATTGAGAGTTTTAAGGTCAAAAGTGAATTTCTAGGATATCATTGTCATTGCTTGGGCTTAGTAAACACTTGTGGGATTGATTTGACTTTGAAAATAGCCATTTGAAATAAGTTTGGGGGGAAGTTGTCTTGAACTTAAATGTGTTTAAACTTGAACCAAGTTGTCCTTTGTGGTTAAGTTGAGACCAATTTTGGCATCTTTGCCTTAAAGCGGTTTATTGTTTTGATGTAAAAGGGGTAAGATTCTCATTCTTCTTGTTCTAAATCAATGCATGCTTCAATTTTGCAAAGAAGGGGGTCACGAGCCATAAGTGACCACATTTTTTATATCTTGAAGGTGTACGGGGTCGCTAGCCATACGCAATCAATTTTGTTCTCTATATTGCTTAGAGGGGGCATGAGCCTTGAGTGACTGTAGGTTGTTAATTTTGTTGAAAATGGAGGACGGGATTTTTATGAATGGAGTTAGGCTTTGAATTTGTGTATCATTTCTCAAATGCTTCATATGTTGCATTTCAGGTCTAGAATTCCTCTTGGAACTTGTGCATCATAACTTGCCTAGGATTGAAGTGTAGTTAATCATGTCTTACACTTATTTCTCTATTTCATGATGTGTCAGCTTTCTTGAGTTCTAAATAGACCTTTGCCATGAACTTGTTTTCTCCATGTCACCATAATTGCTCTATTGGACTTAATGTTGAAAATTGTAGACATTCTTGCTTAGGAAATGATAGATATCATCCTAGGGTCTACATGCTTGAAAATTTGAAAAATCTCTTAAGTTTTAGGTTTGCAAACTCACGTTGCATATTTTGTGCACATCAAACCCTAGACTTATCACATTGGTTTCATTCTTACAATTTTTTTTTTCTTCAGAAAGTGACTTTGTGTTCTTTCTTTGCTACCAAGGCACCATTTTGCATGCTTAAGATGTGCCATGATCCATTCTTGCAACTTGAAGCATGTTTTAGTTCTAAAATGTCAGAAAATTATTTAAATGTTATTCTTGAAGTCTTCTCGATAATTTCTTACACAAGCATGTTCATTTCTGTCGATTCTCTATTTCTAATTGATTCAGGCATGCTTAGTGTTTCAATTTCGATACTTATCTCATTTCTAGATATGTACATTGATATTTATATGTTATTTTTCCAGATGCAATGGAGGAAATCTATCGCTAGAAAAGGAAAGAGAGTTATCTAGCCTCCACAGCCACCTCATTCTCTCGAGAGTGAGTCTTTTTCTTTTGAGTCTGTAGCAGCTGGATCATCCTTTTCTACTACATCCTCATCCAGTGCCTCCTCTAGCACACATTCCATAGATCCACAGGCACCTATCCATACTTTTCTAAGAAAGGATGGGATCCAAAGTATGCTTTTGATACAAGTTTCTTTTCTCGGTCTGAGCAGACCAAGTGGGGATATGATGAGATCTTCTATCGTGGTATTACTTCTAATCTGATGCCGGTAAATGACAAGGTGTACCCACGGTTGGTAGCTTTGTTCTTCCAGCACCTCCGTCGGGATGAGGTTGACACCCAGATCCTACACACTACAGAGGATGGGCAGGATATTGTCATTTCTACAGCTACCATTGAGATAGCTTGCAGATGCCCCCACCTTTCTCCAACAGTCACAGAGTCAAAGTAGCCATTGTATCCTCTTATCACAGAGTATCCGTGTAGGTGCAATTTTTCACCCCCGAACACTTAGAGAGGTAAATTAAAGAAAATATACAAAATATGAAAGAGACACTAGACAATTTTGGCAATAAAGAACAATGATAGGAATTCGATGATCTTTCTCTCTTATTCATGCTTTATTTATAAGCTTGTACAGAGATTTACATGGAGCTGTTATTGGCAGTTTTCTTTTTGAACGTGGGTGTTTATGACTTCCTTATAATGCGGCCCTCTCTTTTATGGTGGGCATTATGGAAGTTCGAATGTATTGATTCTGGGCCATTCTTTGGTCCATTGCTGTTGAACGGGTTCTCCCTTACTAATTGGGCTGAATTGGCCTTCTCTCAAGTCTTCCTTGTTGGGCCTTTGACTTTTAGGCTATTCTGACATAAGGCGAGTTTAATATTTGTTGACATGTGGTGCATTATGATTGGTGGGGAAATTTAATTCTTCTATACTTTGCTGCCCATTCCTTTTATGAATTGTATTCATGTATGCAATTTGTAACTATTTTCAAGAAGTGGAGAAGTTTCTGCGGATATTACTGCTCATCATTGCCATTTGTGCTCCCTATTTTTGGGGTCTCATGCTTGCCTATTCAATATCTGCTTAACTTTATCTATATATTACGTTCTTATGATTCGTATGTCTGCATCTACGATCTCATCCTTGACTTTAAGCAAGAGTCTGCCTGCCGGTGCAATCCTTTTTTCGTTCATTAAGGTTAATCACTTTTTCATTCCCTCTTTCTGTCATTATGAGTCAAGAAAGTAGCGAATGAACCTATAGCATTCGTGCGTCTGATTTCGAATTAAGGACGTTGGCGGTGAGTTCGAGTAGTGACTTTGAGGGGCTAATAGTGCTTCCCCCGGATATTGTAGTGAGGAAGTCTTTCTCTGTGACAACCCTGGTTTTTAAGTCAGTGTGTCATGTGACGACCCGAAAAGGATCCAAGATGCGGAAGCAAAAGAAACAAGACAATAGTCTTTCAAGGCACAACACACCTATAAGACACTTTGATGACCTCCTATGAGGTCAAGGAACCCGAAGGAATAGCGTGTGTAGGTAAGAGATAGGAAAGTAACAATTAAGCTCCCAAGGGCAAAATAGTTATTTTAAAAGGTATGGATTCAGGTGCCACTGAGCACACCACTAGAAACATAATGAAAAACTAACCAAGATGGACTCAAGAATCGCATGATTCGGAGTTCGGTCGAAGAAGAAATGACAAGATGAAGAAAGACGAGCAAAACCCGTTAATCAAGGGCAAAATGGTCTATTCACAATGAAAAGGAGAAACTTGACTCAAAACAAGTCAAACAAGGTGAAAATAACCTAGTTTAATCATTTCACAACATTTCAAGAGGTTCCAAGAACATTGGACAAAAATCCTACGAAATGCCCATTCCCGGTTTAAGCGAAAACTGACACCCTCTTACTAAAACATGAATAACTCTCACCACAATTGGATTTTGAATGAATGGTTGGTGTCATTGGAAATCTGACTTCAAGCTCATGTATTTAGGCTCAAGAATCACCCCATTTGGGTTAGAAACAAAGAAGTTATGGCCATTTGAAGTTGGAAGTTCAGTACTGAAACTCAACAGAGGCTGGTCTCGGGATCTAGCTATTTCTGTCGACCAAAATGACCCATCGGACGACCGAAATGGACAAAATTTGTGCTGAAATCATGTTTTCAAGGCTTGGTTGTATCGGTAGGCCGAAATGAACCATCGGTTGACCGAAATGGCCCTAAACAGTGAAAATGGCTACTAGAAATGATGGTTTGATGAAATTCAAGAGCTTCTGTCAACCGAACTGGCATTTCGGTTGACCTAAATGGCTCGAGGAAGTGCAAATGAACCTGTTATGCACCTGAGGCTGAATGTCTACTTGGAAATCCCCATGGCATGTTCAATTCACAAAATATACAAGTGTGTGATGATGTGAGCATGCACGCAAGTGGAATATGGATAATTAAACATGTTACAATGGCCTATGGCCTTATTACACTCCATTTACAAAATTTCACATGTCAAACCTCAAGGTCGGAAAAGTTTACATTTCAAGAACAAAACTTGCAACTTAAATGCATATTCTTGAATCTTTAAGCTTGTGGCCCTTGGCCTCGTGTCATACATGTCAAATATATTGAAAAGAGTGTACTTATGTACACTTTACATACATAGAATCAAATAATACAAGTTTAGTACATAAAGGCTACAAAATAGCATTTCATGCTAACATTTGCATGAAATGGAAACTTGAAGGCTACAAGTCATCCAAGGAAAGCTAAGCATCTCGAACCAAGTCTTCGTACCTGAAATATGTCCGAGTAATGTAGGGGTGAACAACATAAAGCTACTCGTAGGAGATGAGCATGTATTGACCTAGCGTTTTACAATTTTATCACCTTAAGGTGAAACATGTTAAGAAGGCTCATGACACCTAACGTATATGTCACAATGAGACTCAGGGAGCATCCTAAGCTACCTTAGAGTAATGTCAACAAGAATCATGATATACATATACATGTATGAAACAAGTCAAGGTTGGGATAATCCACAGAACACAAGAAGTTTATAATTTAACATGAATTTCATTATCAATGTAATTGAATAAGATTTGGAACAATCCATACAACATGACAAGAAAGATGCTTGAAAACAAGGACAAGGCATAATATCTATGCAAGTAAACATGGATGGAACATTCTATAAAACATGAAAAGAGTTATACATGAATCAAGAACAAGGCATAATATCTATGCAAGAACATGGCATAAAATCTATGCAATTTACAAGGTTAGAACATTTCATATAACATGAGAGATTTTTAAATCTTCAAGGAATAACACTTGAAATTTAAGGACTAGAATCACGAATGAAGCATAAAATCTATGCAATGAGACAAGATTGGAACATTTCACATAACATGATAAGTTTAAATCTTCAAGACATAGCAACTTGAAATTTAAAGAGTGAAATCAACCAATGTGGAAATTCGGATATCGCTCGGATTAAAACCGTACTCTTGAGATCACTTTAGGGCTATTAACCCATGGGTACCTTTCTCCTAGTGCGCACTATAGTTGTAGGAGGACATTCCCCCATACTAGAACCAAGTCGTAGCCATGTCAATTCTTGATTGATATCCCAAGTCCCAAAATCGACAAGTTGTGCAAGTCAAGATTATATCAAATACAATAAATGCATTAACCACGTTTCATGCACAACTAAGATTTTGGAACATACAAGTCATGCCCTAAGTTCATCAACTATAATGGCATATGAAATGTTAAGAAATCATAGTGTGCAACTATATAGACAACAACCAAGATATGTAGCGCATGGAGTTCATTGAAGTAAATATACCACAAGTATAAGATACATGATTCAAGTAATTACTAAGTAACACATGAGTAATTAAATCATTCCAAGACAAAGGTGCATGTTCATTAAGTACATTAATGAAACCTAGATACAAGAGGTCACGATGCTTGATAAAAGATAACAGTTCATGAAATTTAAGTCAAGTTCACTAGTTTAATAGGAATTCATATCAAGGCATGATTAACTCGATGGAAGCATATAAAGGAAATTTAATCTACTTAAGAGATTAAATTATCAAGATTACAAGGTATGTTTAAGTGTTCTACAAACAAGACATGTCAAGGATCATGTGAAGAACAAGTCTAATATCGAGTTACAAGTTCATTTTATTCAAAACACAACCATGTGAATTTAGTTCCATATAAAGGAAATAAATAAATATAAGTTTCAAAACTTATCCGGTTATTCTTAATTTGATACACGTAAAGGAACTTGTCCCGAAAAGCATGAATTCCAAGTTAGAAACTTAATCAAGACCAATGAGCTATTAAATGGATTATAATTATTTCATTTAATTAAAATTTCTAAGTTTTGAAATTCATCCAAATGATCTCAAATTTATATATGTTATATAACATGCCAAGACTTGATTTAAAAACACGACACACGTGAATTCCATGCAAGAAAATAAATAAATGAAAAGTTTCAAAACCTAATCAAATATTCTAGATTTAATATATGTGAAACCATATAGCATGCATATCAAGAATGTTAAGTCGGAATTCCAATGGGGTGAATAGTATACCCGGAGCAAATTAATTAATAAATACTAGATTTCGAAACAACTCCGATTATCCTCAATCTTATCTATGTTGAAGAGCATGCTAGGGCCTAATATAATATGCTAACACATATTGATTTCAAGCTAGTTAAGGGCATGTGAATTAATCTTTCACTAAAGATAAATATTAAATAAAACCTTTAATACTTATTCAAATATACTCAATTTAATATATGTCAATGACCATATTATGGTGTATCAAAATACCATGCTACATGTTCAAAACAAGCTATGAGCAACTGGGAATTTCAAATCTCATACAAGAAAATTAAATAATAAAATCTCTAGGTTTCATATTTAAGCATGTAATCAAGTTGGATATGCATCAATAGCATGCAATATAATAAGAATTAAACCTAGAACATCCCCTACCTCAATTTGAGATGAAAACCTCAAAGGCCTACCGAAAAAAAGTGCTCCGAATCCGACGATACCAAAGGGTTTTGTCGGGGACAACACCATGAATAAGAATCCGCAAGAAGCCCCATGAAAACCACAACTTAACTTCAAACCTGAACTCAAGAAATCATCAGAAATGAATTCTAATAAGGGTGAAAGATGCGCAGTTGCCAAGATAAGCATTAAACGTTAAGGCTAAAGGATTTCTACCAAGGAAAAGTGAACCAAAAGAGGAGAGAGAAGATGGCAGCCATGGCTGCCATGGATTCCGGCCAGAAGAGAGGAGAGAGAGAAAGAAGTTTGACTTTTTCTCTTAAGACCCCCCCTATTTATAGAAAATCTCAAAAAGTGCCTCGAAAGGGCCCCGACGGGTCTGGAAAAGTGAAATTTGAGCATACGCACTCAAATGGAAAAACTCCATGAACAAAAAAGATTCTAAAGGAGAAAATATGAATAACGGAAGAAACGACGTCAAAAACCGAGTCCCGAGTAGAGAGATATGCCTCGAACAAGTTCGGCGGCAACCGGGTCTAGAAACTCTGAAACTAGAGAAAAAACGACCAGAACAGAATTCTATGAGTACACGAGTCGACAAAATGTGAAAATGAATCCTGTACGAGGATCTAGGCTCCAGACAAGATATTTTGCAATAACTTTCGTTACTTGCACAATGACCCCTCCAAAAAGGGTTAACTGCAAAACTGCCCCAGAATGAAAATATCTTCTAAAAGATATTTTCTTAGATACTCCTGAAATAAAATATCTTCAAAAGATATTTACGAAAAATACCCCAAGAAATGAAAAAGATTCTGAAGAATTGTGCATCCACACCCCTATGGACACCGGGAGCAACCAGAGTACTTTATTGTAAAAGTAAAGATATGTATTTCAAGGAAACCACTCAAGATGAAGGCACGTGAAATCAAAAACTAACTCCGAGTATGAGAAGTGAGGTTGTGTCAAAAACTGACAAATAGGGAAA